AAATCCTGTCCAACAGCCCTACCCGCCGTCCCCGCCCGCGCGTGCATGTCGATCGCCCGCGGCGCGGGCGCGCATGCGCATTTGCACATGCGCATTCGGCCGTGTACCATCACCAACACACCACCGCCCACACTGCTCAGCCGGTTCCTGTCGCACAATGGCGGCAGCCGCGCCCATGGCCCGCAGATGGCGCCGCGCGCGGGCCCCCAGGGAACAGCGCGTTGTATTGTAACCACAAGCACTGCAGTGCCTTTCAGTCGGCGGCCGAATTTGGATGTTACAAGGGGCGGCGGGGGTTTGGAGGGGGTTGAAGGGGCTGGCAGGGGTCTCCTATGCGCAGGAGTAGTGTGTGGCCGATCAGCACCAGGGACAAAGGAGGGGCTAGAGCGACCGATGCTGCAGGGGCACCACTCCTAACGCAGCTGAGGGCAGCAATAGGTGGCGGACGCGCCGCCGCAGACGGCTCCAGCGGCTGCCTTAGCTGCAGAGGCGCATGCAGGCCCACCCCAGCAGCCGCCGCCCAGGCAGGGTTCCCTTTGCTCTATCTTGAGACCCAACCGGCAGCTTCCCTGCTGTGTCTGGGGGCCCGCGTTGCAGCGCCTCCTGCTCAGCTGCAGAAGGACGCGAAAATAGATCGCGCGCTTGCAGGCCTGCTCGTTTATTGATGCCGGTGTGCGAGCTGCACGAATGCGCGTGTTGACGGTCAAAGAGGTCAATGTGGGCGGCCACGCATGGCGCCGGAAAGCAGCGCTTGAGCTCTCGGTGGGATCCCCACCTCAAACAACACGTCGATGATGGGCAGTGCAGAAGCCTGCCTGATGAAACCAGATGCCAAGTGGTGAGCTCACTTGCTACAAACCAGGACACTATCACACCAAAACAGGCCACCATCAAAGGGATTGCCCGGCCAGACCAGGAGGTCGACCTTCAATGTGCCAAATGAAATCATGAAACATCCCTTGCCAACAGAGGCAAGCGCGCCCAGCGGTCTGATATTTTGCGGGAAATCAAAGGTGGTCGAAGGCGGTCAAAGCCAGTCAAAAGACTGCCAAACGCGGTCAGATGAAAACCCTAGGGTAGAGCTCGCCCTCCTCTGCCTCCTCGTCCGATTCAGAATCTGCCTCTTGGCCGCGCCCCTCCAAGCCGTCCTCGCCCCCCTCCCCCTCGCTGCTGCTGTCCAGCTCGTACCCACCCCCCACCTCTTGCTGACTGTACCTCGAGCGCCCGCTCGCGCCCCCGCCCGCCGCTGCCGCAGCCGCCCACTCGCCCCGCTGGCCGGCCACTGCCTCCTGCTTATCCCCCGGAATTGACAGCTCCAGGCGGCTGGCCAGGTCTTGGAGGTTCAAGGCGCCGCCCGCCCCTTCAAATTCCGGATCCGCCGGGCAGCCCGCGGCAGTCAGCTGACTTGCTGCTGCAGCTGGTAACTTCCGAGCCGCCGAGGCCAGATTGGTCATGTCCTCAGATCGCAGCCGGCCCGACTGGAACCGGCTGCTCGCGCCGCTGAGCCCACTGCCGCCGCCGCTGCCGCCGCCGCCCTCATGTTGCTGCGACGACGCGAGCCGCGACGGCGCTGCGGACGGAAGGGCTGCGGACGGTGGGCGCAATGCAGCCGCTGCTCCCCGGTCAGGCGGCGGCGCGGACGCATTCTGAAGCGTGACAGGGTAGGCACAGCCGCTGTCTTGCTGGACAGCCCCACAGCCCGCCTCCTCGGCAGCATCAGCCGCGGCCCGCTGTGGCTGCTCCGGGGAGCCTCGGGTGGCGGGCGCCTCCGGCCCGGCCGCCGCGGGGGCGGCGATGCTGGCGGCGAAGCTGACTTCGAATGGCCTGGAAGAGAACAGCGGCTGCTTTGAAATGGAAGCTCGGCAGCCTGCAGCCGCGCCCGCGCCAGCTGCCGCCTCGGCGGCGGCGCCGGCGGTGCGGCAACCGCAGCAGCGGGTCATAGGTTGGCCGCAGCCCGCGCAAGGGACGAGCATCGCCTGCTGCTGCTGCTGCGGCTGCTGCTGCTGCTGCTGCTGCTGCTGCTGCTGCTGCTGCTGCTGCTGCATGCCCGCTCTCCCAAACGCGCTGAGGAGCGAAGGGCAGATCAGACTATCCATGTGCGGCAGCCCGCCGCCCCCGGCCGACCCCGGCCGCCGCGCGCTGCCGCCGCCGCCGCCGCGGCGCAGCTCCGCCTGCTGCCACGCGTCCAGCCCCGGC